CCATACTTGTACTGTATACAAACAATCAAAATATTTGAGGATGCCACGAAAGCTACTTCTACATTCATTACGTCTGCAGTTGAAGCATCCACTGAAACGGAAAAAAGAACGACACTTCATTGTAGAACGTCTTCAACTACTTGATCAACAGTTCTATCTCGATCATATTCGATGTCTCTATCAAAGTTATTTTGATCAAGGTCTTAAATTTCATATGTGGCCTGTAAGTATTGATGATACTGTTCCATTATCATTACCAGTTCGCATCACTTTCATAGGATGATATCCTCAAGATTGCACAAACAACAGAACGCAGTGTCATCCAAAAGTATCTCGAAGAGTACTTGATATTATTACGAGACAAAATCAGTCAATGTACAACTGAATTAGCAACTCAATCATCATCGTGTCCACTGACTTTATCTTTACTGGACTTTGTCGATTCGCGACTGCATGAATTTGTTCGTCTGCATCATATTGACTTAATGAGGACGATTCGTTTTCGAATCAATAAACTCAAAGACGAAATTCACGAAAAACAACTCTTTCAACACTTATCTTACTATTATTTAAATAATGATCAAGTAATTTTCATCTCGTAACCTCTGTTTATCATCGATTCGATGTTCCTAGTTTAAAGCAATTTCTCGATTGACCACTATTCGCAAGAAACAATTGCAGGTATTCGAAGAACAAACCTTGCTTGAGCAACAAATCTTATGCCATCGGTTACCAGAATCTTTTGATTCCGTACTGCCGAATCTTGACGTGAAAAAGCTTTCAAAAAAGCATTGTAAGATGGTACAAGAGCTAAAACGGTTGACATTAAACTTAGAATTACAGCGATATGAAGAGGACATCCATCGTTATGAACAGCTATACCAAGAAGAATTCAATAAACTTCAACAACAAATTCTAAATCCAACTTCATCTGACTACAAACATCAAATAGATATCTTAATGTACACTGTCGAATCCTATCTAAATAATTATAAACATAGACTTTTACGTCAAATAAGACACAGAGAAGCATGTTTTCATACAAATTTGATCCGACAACGTCGTCGTCGACAATCGCTCATGGCAGACAACAATATTCAGGTGCATCCACAAATTATTGTCGATGTTCCAAAAGTAGCGTTAAACGATGCCCAACTACAATTTCTCTCACAAAATGGTATTTACAAATCTATAGTTGTTTTCGAACTTTAGTATAGTTTATTGTTGGTTCTGTTTTTCTTCTCCTTTGCAAAGGCCCCAGTTACATTCGACCGAACCAAAGTTATCTTCACTGTGATCAACAACAACAGAAACAAGTCGATCGAGAATTTAACAAAACCCTTGACGTAATCGTTCCTTATCTCGTGCGTGTCTATCATATGTCGCCAACATCAACAATTATCAGCCGATTCTCCCATCAACTGGCTACTTATCTGTGTGAACAGTACATGGCTCCAATCTCTTATCTTCATGCTCATCGTGCTCGACAAGAAAGAAAACTTACACAGTCCATTCGATACCGCTTAAAGAAAAGCAATCAAGTTCTTCGTGTAACGGATAAAAGTGGCATATTCCATATTGGTGACGTCAACGATTATGAACAAAAAGCAGAAGCTTATCGAGAAAAAACGAAGGCGTATATCGAACTAGAAAATGATCCCCTATGCGTAGTTTTTGACAAGGTAGTCAATTTGCTCAATGATCTTCGTTCGAAAAAGCATATTCTTGCATGGCAATTTGATAAAATGATGCCGAAACGAGAGAACGCTCAACTAGCTTACCTCTATTTTGTTCCAAAACCACATAAGGTAATTTTTGAAAGTTCTTTCTTTTTTATCAATCTAAATTCCGTTTGTATTCACAGGAAGGAACACCATTAAGACCGATTGTGTCCTCAATGCATATGCCAACAACTGGCATTTCCAAGTTTCTTGATCGACTACTTCGACCGTTATTTGATCAACATGTTCGCTCAACTACAATTATCGATGGTGTTGATCTCATTCGACGACTTCAAGCATACACTGCAAATGGATATTTGAAGCCAACAATGTATTTGTGCACATTTAACATCACAGATGTATATACAATGTTACCAGAGGAAGAATCTCGATATTCTAACTGAATTTCTTCTAGAACATGGATATACCAAAGTGAATGCAGTGCCCATCGAGAGTTTTGCAGTCAAGAGCCAGCTGGTATACCGTCATCAAATGAACTGTCTTATCGTATGTTGTTCTTTTGTTTGCTGAAATCATAAAGAAGAAATTTTTACTATTCGATGTATTGAATTGAAACTGATTGTTTTTCTTTTACCATGATCAGCGTAGTAATATCTGCCATCCAATATGTGCGTAATTCCCAATGATCATAGAAATAGTATAGAGTTCGGTCCGTCCACGTTCTACTCAAATGTAGACTTCTTTTCTTACTGGTGACGAAACATTTTGTACTATTTCTGGAAGCGAAGCTAACTGTGGTGTCCTTTCACCAGTACGCGGGTCAATCTATGCATACATATATGATAGAATGGTAATTGTAGTAAAATCTCTCGAATAGCCTACAAAAATAGTTGTCTTATTTTCGTGATCAATAAAAAATACTACGTCGTCTTTCGTTTCTCAATCAGGCGGTAACGGACCAAGGTCATCGTTCGGCTGTAATACATGAAACTGATTTTCTGTCCCGAAAATCAGTCATTAGTAATCGTGTGCAAATAAGCAATAGAGATTCACAGACTTTCCAGTGATGAGATGATTCCATGTGGTAATGCGACGATTATGATCGATATAGTACGCGTGATCCTTATGAGTTTTACGTTCTATGACGATAAAGAGAAAATTTGAAAAAGAAAATCAATTGTGCAATGCCACCTTATTGTCAACTCATCGGTAGACGAAAGAGACTTCATTTCATTGGGACACCAAAATAGTCCAATGTCCTTTCACAGATCAGAACGAAAGAAAATCCTCGTGTCTCATTGCTGTTGGATGTAGATTGAGTCGATGGTCAGTCTGAATTAGGAAAACTCATATCAACAGTTGTATTTATTAGAATTTTTTTCGAACTCAATGCTTTATACTGCTCTAAAAAGTAATTAGAATATTCATACACACTTGATAAGAGACGAAAAAGATACGAAATGGAGAAAAAAAAGTTAATGTCGAAGTTGGAGATTTCATACAGAACGAAAATGAATGAGTGAAATAATCAAGTTCGATCTCTTTTTGAATTTTTTTCAAGAGAATTTTAAAGGTAAAATTTATTAAAAATAACACTATCAGATATTTTCATATATCGGAGAGTCTAAACTAAAAAAATGATGTTTTTGAAGGTGCAGGTTCGAGTGTAAAATATGTGAGAATCTTTCATCAATTGTTGTCGAAATTCGATTATCCCCAAGGATCATATGGTATTGCAGAGCATTTTTATCTTTGCAAATGGGTACCATTGCCATCCTTGCACTACATATTTGCACAACACCATTTTTTTTATCTTCTTCATTCCGCTTTTCTTCGATAAGTCTTGTTTGCTTAGCGAACCATTTTATTTTTCGAACCTTTTTAGCATCAACAGTTGAATAAACAACTTGACCAGATGAACCACCACAAGGATCATGTCCAGTACCTTCGAATGCACATTGACTAGTTGAATCACATCGATCCGACGTTGCGAGCAACTTATGAAGTTTCGCGTAATAATCGGTTGGTGTTTTCTTATTCAATGGACTTCCGATGATGAAAATCAGCAAACCTATAATTAAAATCACAATTTAACTTTATTGCTGCACTTATCGATGCATTTACCGAATAATGTAAATAAACGAAGATATTGTCGCATGTGTTCGTATATTTGTTCAAAGAGATTTCAAAGAAAATCCTTCAAGGATAAATTCAATACTACAACGAATGTATGGAAATAGAAGAGATTATACAATTTATATTCAAATTCGGATGTTTTAATCAATTGAGGTTATCAGATCAAATCGTAGATACATACCTGAATAGCTTAAACGTCGTCAACTAACAGTGTTAAAATAATATTGGTATAATGACTATGTGCGAAGCATATATACATCAATGATATCGATATCTGTCATCACTTCATATAGCATGAGAATTCCCATCGTGGCATTTTCCACTTGGAAAAAATCCCCATTTATGTATATATCCTTTGTATTGATGACAGTTTTATCTATAATGTTGAAAGGAAAGTATTCTACTAGTTGTAATCGAATGATGTGTACGAAGACCAATTAATATTCTATTTCGTATGATTTCCCTTTGAACGTTATTCGTGGTGGTATCCGATGTGCTCTGAAATAACACGTTTCATCCTGTATAAACAAAGACTTGACACTGATGTTATTATGTCCGTAAGTAGGATTTACATATCTGTCCGATTCATTGTATTGACGGCAAATGTCTAAATCGAGTTCGAACATTAATTGTTGACAAAGATGAAAGTTGAGTTACACATACTTTGATTTTATATTCGGACATAGATATGTGAGTACGAGTTAAGGAAGACTAAAACAAATTTACTCCTCCTATCTATCTTTAATAATCTCCATTTTTTGCAAGAATTTACTGTTTTTCTCGTGATGCAGATGCGTTTTTCCAACTTTCGCCTTATAAATATGTATAGGACAAAATTTAACAATTGTTTCAAAATCACTGCATCATTATTCAATGCTTCTACACTTTACATCTGCAATCATCGTATAGTATACTTTAGAAATGCAACGTTAACAGATGACGACAATTCGACGAATACTGGACCAACCCGTCAGTCAAGTACAATTATTATAGAAAAACATTTGCGATTCAAGAAACGACTCTTCATCTTGATCATCCCAATTTGACTAGAACATACATTGGCATCGGTAAAGTATATCGAAAGATAGCTAGTTATATAGAAGCACTTGAATATTATATTACAAAAGCTGCTCTGATTTGTCAAAAATCGCTTCCTTTAGATCATCTCGATTGGGCTACGCTTTTCAGTATTAGTGGTAGAATCGGCGAAACTATATGTAATTTCTCGTCTACAAACGATCCAAACCTACAAAAAAATGGGAAAACATTCTCGACGAAGTAAAACAGAAGCTGTAACTGGTATTATTTTTATCCTAAAACTAAAATTAAAAATAGAAAGTACCGTACGTGAGAGCACCAATGAGTCTGGCAATATAACTGAATGTGAGAGTAAGACAAGAAGTCAGTTTCAGTTTCGGCTTGGGCTTGGTCTGAACATCGATAGATTCATTGAAAAAGTCAATGCATTCGCCTAACCCCGACTACGTCGGAGTCGGAGTTATATCCGTAGAGGGGTAGTGAAAGTTTTCGAACAGTTGCACAATATTAAATATATTCTTCTATAATTCAAGTAATAAAATAAACATAAAATATAGTCTACTTTATAAATACATAAGTAATGAAAGAAATCTCCACATGTTCACTATCGATAAAATACAAAAGATGGAAAGTGTATTTAGATAACGCTAGTATACATGATAAAATCTCAGAGTTTTTTTTTGGAGTTGGAGCTGAAATCGGAGGCAGAATTGGAAATGGAGGGGAAAAATTCGGCATAAATATCGGGCTTCGAGAAAAGAAAAACTTCTACTTCGCAAGGCTCTAGTGGGTGGGAATTTAATCGCCCGTCAACACACACGTATTGATAATGCGAACAGTAGATATAAGAGGTGCTTTGTGATTTATTAGTGCTACCATGTTTCAGTACATGTTACAATTTGATTTTTTTAGTACCGATCTATGGTCGAGCTTTCGTCACCATTTGTATCTATTTCACAATTATTCTCTGGATGAACTTGTACACCAAGACTGACACTGATGATCATTAGCGTAATGAGAGGTAAAATTGTACATAGCGTAATTAAATAAAAACTCATTATATCTAACGATGGACCCCCAAATCGAACAACAACCACCGACATCCAGCCACAGACATTTATAAAGAAAAGAATATGCAAACTTCTTTTATGAGAAGCTATCCAACAAAGAAGACGTAGCACACCGATCAACAGTCGTAACACGCTAGTACAAACGCCTAATTTATTAATAATTTGAGTGCCGATTAATTATATCGATGGTACGAAGAAAACCCTTTCATTGAGAACTCCATTTGACAGGTTTGTAAAGGAAATCGACATATTTGTATAAGAGAGTGTTTCAAAGCTATGGAATGTGCGGGATTTACAAGAAGTAAACACGTTTCTCCTATAATAATCGTACTGGAGAATGTTAGTTTAAAAACAACGTTACGACTGATCGGATTAGCGACCATTGTGATTGATTTACAGTTGTTTTCGGCACAACGTCCTACGGAATACACTGAATTTCATATATTTCTAGCTCTTATTCGTATCAAATAAACGAGAGAATGACAAACTAAATACTTTTCTTTTAGTGACAACCATTCCTGAACTATTGCAAAATTTTCAGGAGTTTCATATTGAACGAATATGATAAATTTACTCATCACAGTGATACCTTAGTTTGATTCACATAGTTGTGCTAATCAATCAATCGATTGATTTGTTCTCATTGACACGTGTTCGATCGGTTGGAGTAATCTTTCTATTTTATTCCAATTCATGTGATTACTACTTATTTTATTACTTATTTAAATAACACGGGAATTCGTTTAACGATTGACCAAATATTATTATTTATTTAGCTCGTGTTTCGACAACTGTCAGTTTACGATAATCTATTACATTTTGATCTTTATGAAAGAAGTACGAATCCTTCACCAAAATCAAGACAATAGTCGAAACAACAAAATTAAAAACCAACTCGGTTAATGCTAAAAGTTCAATTCATACTCTGATTAGTGATTTATGAGATCATTTCATTAAAAAAAAAACTTTGATGTTTTGCGACGAAGTTCAACGTTCATGTCACACATTATATTCAGATTCAAATGATGTAATTCATACATTTTTATGCTCTCTTATACATTATAAAACCCATCATGTAAATAATGTATAAGTGAAAGAACGAAAAAAAAATGTCAAACATTTCATAGACATTTTCGAAGTGTTACATCACAACATATTTCATATTCATTCATTAGAGAATTTCTTTTTTTATTCTATTTGAACGTTGACCGAACAACAGTTCTTTTTCTTCTCCACAGGAAGAAAGAAAATGTATCATTATTACTCTCGTATAGAAATAACATATCGTCGTTCNGAGCCAATTTTATATTAGAAAATCGTTGCCAACGAGGATAAAGACATGTAGCAAAATATTGATCGATTGTTGCTAAACACCAACATGTCATTGAAATTCCAATACTTGCTTGAGAAAAACATCGTCGAAATTTGCAGTAGAATAATGACACATCACTTAGATCAAAATTGATTAAAGCAACCATAATCAATGGAGAAAAGCTAAAACCTAAACAACCAATATTGCTAATTGACATAATTGTTAAATAAAATGCGCATGGACTTTGCCGAAAAGTTCGCAGACTAAGAAGTTCGATAGTATTAAGAATATTTCCGCTGATACCGACAGCAAAAGTAAATGTTCCACAATAACGAATAATTTCTTGTCCGATAACAGTTAAAGGTATGGCCATGTTTATATGTAAACTAGGTTATTTTCTGGGAGTTTTGCTTTCTTAACTCAAATCCTCATTATATATATACAGATTCTATAACTATGAAAGAGAGATGCGTGTATCGTTGAATCAGAAATAATCTTATAATAAGGCCATTAATTGACAGGATGTTGGTAACACTTAGCACGTGAAAACACGTTATCTTAGGTCATCCTATTTTGTTAAAAATATTATTTATTCTCTAATTCATTTCATGTTAAACAACACAAATTTTAAAAAAATGTACTTTTATGAATAGCTGGTGTGTGTTATTTACTCTCTTTTATCCAATAGTTAGTCAATATCGGCTCGCCGATCATTTGCTGGAATATCTACTGTTCGTGAGTTTTTCTCTTTGAAAATACAATAGTTAAATTTATTTTATACTAATTCATGTTAACCATGAATGCATATATGCCTTTCCATATCATTTTACGTTTCATTTCTTTGCACGCCGCAATCAAGTCAAGTATAAATTTAGTAAACAGGATTAAGATAAAAACTAGAATGTCGACAACTACTACTGAGGTGAGACTGAACAAAACTACATAGATCATTGTCTGTCTGTAGTGCACAATAACAAATCTTGAGTTTGATTATTCCCAGGTATTTGTAAATGTGATTACACAAGCAAGTCAAATAATCTTCAGTCATATTTGACATTTTCTATATGATATGTTGCGTTCTTTAGTTGTAATCAGTGCAAAAAAAGATACTTCTACGTGTCAGTATGATATTCTATACAGCAGATTTTAAAATATTTCTGCTGCCATTCTTTTTCTGGCGAAGTCAGAAATGAAAGCTTGAATAGATGTTATTAAAATCATTTTGTATTATAAAAATGATATCTAACACACAATATAGACATGAATGAAATCGAGGTAGAAAGAAATGTGAAGGGTAAGTTATTTCATCTTGCAATTTAGTTTCGATTAAATGACCATGATCTCGAGACAAATACAACTATTGAACGACAAAATATGCTGCATGAACGGGTACAAGTCTGTTCAAAGTTTACATTAGTGAGAAGGATATTTTTAGACGTTTTAATTCGAAGATCTTGACGGGACTTTTAGAATTTATCCAGATATAGAGTCAAATATGTACTATAGATCTTTTTTTTCCAATTATTAGGAATTATTATTTCACTCATTGCTACTAACAGAACAGTGTATGGTATATATGATACAGTTGTGAGTGACAATAGCAAAGTAGTCAGCAATCAGAATGGTGCATCTGGGGAACGTTATCAGTCTGTTGATACATGTGATGCTGATATACTTTCTACACATATAAACTATGCACCGTGCATTTGCAAAGACTAAAGTTCGTCTTGTGGGCTGATTACCGGCTTCTATCTTGAACTGCAAGTTAATCAAACATTAGTCAATGGATTGAGAATATGTGCAGGTGACGAAAGAGAAAGATGCTTGAGGTTTGATGCAACGCTTCAACAATACGATGAAATACAAAAGTTATCGTTTTTCTTATTTCTGCTAAATGAACTATAGATCAGATTCTGCTCAATATTCTGAAGTACAATTCTACAACTTTTGATCTACATTGTTTTCTTCAAAACTATTAATTTAACATCCTAATTGTCTGCTTTTGTGATTTCTATTACTTTTGCTCTATGGTAATGATATTAAACGACATTGACGTCATCTTTCACCAAAGAGTCTGCTAAAAGTGAAAGAATAAAGCAAACATGTATTCAAACAGGATAAAACGAAATTCTCCTATCTTTATAAGAAGCATTAGTGGGCGTACCAGAGGCTGACACATGTGGTTCATTATCTTAGCCATCAGTCATAAATATGAAAGCTATTGGTCCGCTAGTTGATGCATTTTTGTAGAAGATTATCTTTGGTGACAGTGACTATACAGGCAAATGAGACTTCACCACTGCTCGAAGATTCGCACTTCGTTGAGATAGTGTCTTTTATGTACGCTTGATATCTGTCTGAGTATATTATATGAACAGACGATAGTCTTTTTTGTGTGCGTTAATACATATCATGTAGAACTTAACAGATATTGTTTATATGGCTACCAGACTTCGAATCAATTAGTTACATCAACACAACAAACCATGCCGGCATCATTCCCAGCAGCAGCTGTCGTATTATAGATTTCCTTCAAACACGAAAGTTTGATTTTCAAATAACTTCGATGATTCGAGAATGGCGTGAGGGTGAAAGACAAGCCGCTAGGGCCGATTTCGTCATTTCTAAGATGATGCCCCACGCAGCTTATATCTTAAAAATGATCGAACTTAAACGAAATTTCAATTAATCGAATTTACAGGGCAATTTGAGGGCGTAGATGTGAATATTTTCTTAACCAACATTCATGCACTTACACTCACCCTCATACCTTCACCCACCACACTCTCAATATACAAGTAACGCGGCCTAATAGCCGCTAAACCCTCTACTGAAAGGATAGTATTAGAGCGCTACTATTCGTCCAAAGAGAGCAAAAAGTTTTTTCAGTTGAACGATCTGATCATTTAATAGTTTGTCAGAATGTTTTACTTAGACCAATTTCGATTCCTGAAATCTTCTGAAATTATAACGCCTAGTCGTTTGTCGGCCTCTCTCCGGTCGACCACTCACGGCNTTGAGGACTTTTAACTGGAAGATTCCATGCAGGTGCTTCGCCATCAGTAATGGTATGATAAAAATCCTTGTGCTCCAACAAATAATTTATAAAATCATTACGATGTTTTACAACATCGTCTGTTTCATGTCCTTCAAAGTACGGGCGTTGTGCATTTGCTTCAAACTTCGCTCCCCATCTACGAAGATCTAATTGGCAACTTCTTTCGGATCTTATGTAACCACCATTAACTTGTTCGTCAATACCATTTAATTCACAATATTTTTCGTTAATAAATCGGAACAGATCCATCGCTTTAAGTTCACCTGATTTTTGTGAACATTGTTCTGCAACAAATGCTTTGCCATCTACCTCGATTTCTGGATAAATGTCATAAAATGAATCGGAATGTTTACCGTCACGTGAATCATGTGTAAATTCTTTATGATCACCATCCAAAAATATGTCAGCCCATTTGTGTGAAGTTCTCGCTGTTATAAAACCAATACTTTTAAGATAGTCATCAATATCATCCCAGTTAATTTTAAAATATCGTAATGACATGTAGAGTAAGACGATGAGATATTTTGTGTTGTATTTTAAACGACACATTTCAGCCAGATCTGCGATGTTGGGAAGTATCAGTTTCTCCATAAAATTTACTTTTAAATTGTCAGCATCCACATGATAATCATCATTTGGAAAATCAGCTGGGCAAGGAATTGTTGCATTTTGCCATCGACGAGCTGATGGGCTGTGTGATTGGGTTGTTCTTCTGTTTAGTTTAGGCATAATGAAACAATCAGTTGTAATTGATAAATAGTTGTTGTAATACGAAAGAATCGCTAAGATATTGTATATTTATTTCAGATAGAACACATCTATTTATAGGAGGAGCGACAAACAAGGATGGACCTAGATTTCATTAATACAGATATATATATACAAAGTGATTACAACACCTAGAAAAGATAGTACGAATACTAAGAGGATGATTACATGACCTGCAAAAGATAATACTAGTACAGAGTTCAGCACTAAATAAAGTGCGTACAAGTGATTTAGGGTTACACAACGAATCGAATCTCCCCATAAATTAACGAAAAGTGAAGATCCTAAGAGGTTTATGCAAAGGAAAAATAAACAATATTATAATATATACCTATACATGCAATATAAAATGGTTTTTTTTCAAAAACCCCTCGGAGGAGGCTCATCCGATTTGGCATCAATTTTTATCATTGGAAAAAAGTTTTCATTCGATTTGACCGAAAAATGGATGTGTTATATCCGAAAGACCTCCCCGATTTGCTATACCACCAGTAAAGTGAACTTTTCTCCACAAACAAAAAAGATAAAATAAAAAGCGATGCGTAGTCTTTTGAAGAATGGTATGAGGATTGAAAGTTTAAAAAAAAAATGCCCCCCCCCCCCCCCCCCCCCCCCCCCCCCCCCCCCCCCCCCCCCACCCCCGCCGCCACCCCCCCCCACCCCCTCC